TGGGTATAGGGATGCTTTCTGAGGTGATGAGAATATTATGGAATTAGATAGTGGTCATGATTGCACAAGTCTGTGAATATACTAAAAACCAATAAACGGCACACTTCACAAGGTTAAGTTTGTAGAATGTGGATTATATCTTAATTAAAACAAAATTTAAAAATCAATATAACTGTCTCCTAGTCCCTGGCGTGCCTCTAAGGCACTTCTTTCGTATTCAGTCTGTTTCTTACTGAGTTGTAAGAATGGTCTTAGTCCTCAAGGACTAGCGAGTCTTCTCAAGAAGAGATGGAGTCCTTACTAGGACAGGATGCTTTACTTTGTGTGGCCTCAACTATTCATGACATCTTATAGAGGTAATATTTGCAGTGACGTTATTTTGCCACTTGTTGAACATAAGAGGAAGGTGGCTGAGCCACTCAGTTGCCTGCTGACACAGGACATCTGCGCAGAGGAATGTGTACATCTAAGTTTCTTACTCTTGGCATTGATGGCAGCGTGGGTCATTGTGATTATGTGGAGTGGCCCAATTCAGCAAGGATTAATGAAGTTTGTTTTGCACATGTTCTTTGATCAGAGTTCAGACACAGGGATGGAATTGAGGCACAGGGATTGTGTATGGGATAGTATCAGTGAAGATCCCAGTAGGGTGAGATACCCCAGCAGTCCCAGTGATGGGAAGTCGTCACCACCACTAGGGCTGAAGGGACCAGGGAAGAAAATTGTGCTTTCAGAGGCCAGTAAAAGCTGAAGCCATGTGGAAGGGCTCTACCAGAGATGCAACCTCCAAGCAAGGAGGGAATGGGAAAGAAATACCCCACTTTCTCACTCCTGTAGCTCTCCTGTCTTCTCTTAGTGCCTCCTCTTGGGTTAAACCCAACTGGAAGTCAGAGAATGAGGGAATCCCACTACGTAGGGCGTGGCAGAGAAAAGTAGAGAATGGTTGGCAGGACATGGAGTGTCTGGCAATATGGCTTTGATGGAGTGACAGGGATTATTCATAATTAAAGTCATGTAAATAATTTTCACAATCAGAGCTTTTGGCACATTGCTGACTGCTGCTGTATCCATTTTTCCTTCCTTCTGGTTCTATGGAGAAAGTTTCCACCTCTTTTCAAAACCGAGGTCCTCCAAATGGGCTGTTGATTCCATGCCCACCTGTCTTCTCGGTGACCTTGTTCCACCAGTTTTCCTTTCTCCTGTATCTTCAGCGTTGTCCTCTCCACGGGGTCCTGCTCACCAGCAGTATCATATGCTCTCATGCTTTCCTTGCCAGCGGAAACCTTCCCACTTCTCCCTTCACTTCTCATTTACAACCAGACTTCTCCAAATGCTCGCACATGGTATCTTCACTTTCCCATCTCCCATTAATGTTTCTTTCCTCCATTTCTGGCTCAAATTATTTCTGGCACGAATTATTATTTTTTAGCAGCCTTATTGAGATAAAATTCACATACCATACAATTCACCCTTTTAAAGTGTACATCTCAATGCTTTTCAGTATATTCACAGAGCTGCACAACCATCACTGCAATCAATTTAGAACGTCTTCATCACCCAAAAGAAACCCGTCCTCATTAGTCTCTATTTCCTCTCAACCCTCCCAGCCCCGAGGCAACCCCAAATTTCCTTTCTGCCTCTGTAAACATGCCTATTCTGGACATTTCATACAAATGGAATCATACAATATACGTTCTTTTGTGACTAGCTTCTTTCTCTTAGTGGAGTGTTTTCAAAATTTATTCATAGTAGCCTATATATCAGAACTTAATTTCTTTTTTTCTTTTTAAAGAAACAACGAGGTCTTGCCCTGTCACCCAGGCTGGAATGCGGTAGTGTGAATATGACTCACTGCAGCCTCTAATTCCAAGGCTCAAGCAATCCCTCTGTCTCACAAAACTTCATTTCTTTTTATTGCTGAATCGTATTCCATGGTATGGTTATGCCACATTGTATCTATCCATTCACCAGTTGATGGACATTTGGGTTGTTTCCACTTTTTGGCTACTGTAAAGAATGCTGCTGTGAACATAAGTGTCCACGATTTTTTTTTTTGGACTTATGTTTTCATTTCTCTTGGGTATGTATACGTAGGAATGGAATTACTGCCTCCTAACTCCATGTTATACTCTTTGAAGAGCTTCCAGGCTGCTTTCCAAAGCGACTGTATCATTTTTCATTCCCACCAGCAGTGTATGAGGGTTCCAGTTGCTCTATACCCTTGCCAACACTTGCTATTATTTGTCTTTTTGATGATAGCTGTCCTAGTGAGTGTGAAGTGGTATCTCAGGGTGGTTTTGGTTTTGACATATGTTTTCCTATTAGCTAGTGATGTTGAGCATCTTTCATGTGTTTATTTTTGTGTTTTTGAGACGGGGTCTCACTCTGTCTCTCAGGCTGTGGAGTGCAGTGGCGCCATCTTGGCTCACTGCAACCTCTGCCTCCTGGGTTCAAGCGATTCTCCTGCCTCAGCCTCCCAAGTAGCTGGAATTACAGACGCGTGCCATCACGCCCAGTTAATGTTTGTATTTTTAGTAGAGACGGGGTTTCGCCATGTTGGCCAGGCTGATCTTGAACCCTTGACCTCAAATGATCTGCCTCCCAGAGTGCCTCTCAAAGTGCTGGGATTACAGACATGAGCCACTGTGCCCGGCCTCCTGTGCTTATTAACCTTTTGTATGCTTTCCTTTGGAAGCAGGTATTCGGATCATTTGCTCATTTTAAAATTGGATATTTGTCTTTTTGTTTTTGAGTTGTAATAATGTTTTATAGATACTAGTTCCTTATCAGATATATGATTTACAATTTTTTTTCTCCCATTCTTTGGGTTTTCTTTTCAATTTCTTCATGGTGTTCTTTGATGCACAAAAGTTTCTGATTTTGATGAAGTCTAATTTATCAATTTTTTTCTTTTGTTCTGCTTTTGGTGTCAAATCTAAGATAACTTTGCCTAATCCAAGATCATGAAGATTTATGCCTATGTTTTCCTATAAGAGTTTTTTTTAGTTTTAGTTCTGAAATTTTAGGCCTATGATCCATTTTGAGTTAATCTGTTTGTATGGTGTACGGAGAAGGTTCCATTTCCTTCTTTTGCAAGTGGATATTCAGTTGTCCCAGTACCAGTTGTTGAATCCCATTAACTTTACTATTATATGGTATTGGAAACGTATGGAAAAATTTATATGACATTCTCCCATTTGTTTTGTGGGCATATTCTTTTCAAAAGATTACTGTGTTATTTTGTCGAGATTTCTGGATGTATCATGCGGATGCCAAGATAAACATGTGTGTTCATTCTGCCAAGTTAACTAGAGTGTCTGGTTCCTGAGGGGATTTCAAAGCTGGGATGTATAAACACATATGTCCAATCTGCCGTGATCTGCTGGAATTGTCTACGTGCTTAACACTCATTTTCCCTGTTAGGCTGAAGTGGCTTCCAGCCTCCATTACCATTCCAATGTTTAGCACTGCGTCGAATAAAGTGAAAAGGACGAACTGAATGAATGATGGAGCGAGGTCAGAAGAGTTGGGCATGGAGAGGATCACGGAATGTCTTTGGATAGAAGGAGGGACACCATGTCTCTTGGGACTAAAAAATGATGAGAATGCATTCAGATACAGATTACATGGTCAAGAAAGGAACACATGGGGGCAAAACATGGGGAATATGGGACTTCCCAAGGCTTTTCTGGAGAGAAGTTTGCATGGACAGACTTGGGATCCTCTGCAGATGTATTCTTGAAAGCCCAAAGTGGCTGCTCCTATTTACTTTTTTATTATTTTTTTTTTTTGAGACAGGTTCTTGCTCTGTTGGTCAGGCTGGAATGCAGTGAACATAGCTCACTGCTGCCTCCTGGGCTCAAGCAATCCTCTTGCCTCAACTTCCTGAGTAGGTGGGACCATAGGCATGCACCACCATGCTTGGCAAAATTCTAAAAAATTTGTTGTAGAGATGGGGTCTCACCATGTTGCCCAGGCTGGTCTCAAATTCCTGGACTCAAGCAATCCTCCCTCCTCAACCTCCCAAAGAGCTAGGATTACAGGTATGAGCCACTGTACCCAGGCCTGATTTACTTTTACCATTTTTTTTTTAAGAGATGAGGTCTTGTGCTGTCACCCAGGCTGGAGTTCAGTGGCACCATCATGGCTCCTGCAGCCTTGAACTCCTGGGCATGAGCAATCCTCTTGCTTCAGCCTCCTGAGTAACTGGGATTACAGGCACGTGACACTGCATCCAACTACTTTTCTTTGTCCTAAAATGAGTGTATTTTGTGGGCATGTCAAAAGACTTATTGAACTTTATAAACCAGTTTTCTTTTCTGAAGTTGACTAGTTCTCAACTTCTTCCTAAAGCATTTGCTAGTAGAAGAGTTTAGAAAGACAAAGTGCAGGCATTTTGAATCAGACAAAACTGATTTCAAATAGTTTTTCCAACTACTGTGTGACCTAGGAAAATTTCTTATACTTTCTGAGCCTCAGTTGTCTCTGCTGTGAAGTGGGGAACATAATATTACTCATCCCAAGATCAGTGTTTAACTAAATGAATTAATATGTGTGAAGCTCTTAAATTGATGCCTGTTACACAACACCATGCTCAATTAAAAACTTCATCTAATTTCTCTCTCCAAACCAATACTCTGGATTGTCTTCTTTTGAAACCACATCTCATCTTCAACTTCTGACATCATCTTCTCTCCACCCCTTCAGCCTTCTTTGTTTTCACCTATGTGAATATCAAGGTAGATTTCTATGCGTGATTGAGTCAGGGATAGGTCAAAGATGGACTTTTTCATCTTTCTGCTATTCTTTGGGCCTTAGCAGCTATGCGTTTAACCACTGACAATTTTGAATTTGAAACATCATGCCATTTTCAGCTATCTCTAGCTTTTTTTTTTCCAAGTGAAGTTAATTATAGTTTTATAAATTAAAGTCATAGGACTAATTTTCACAGTGTTACTTTTAAGTATCTGGAAAATAATAGTCATTTCTCTATTTAACAGACATACACGAAAGAATGGGCTGACATTCTAAACCACAGAAGTAAGCATGTGGAAGAAGCTGTCAGAGAACTTATATCAATATTTGAGCAGATTTATGAAGTGAAATACACTGGGAAACTAGCAAAGCAGTCAGGTAACTTTTCTCGGTACTATGTTTGAATTACAAGATCTACAGATTCGTTCTTATGTAAGCACCTTCTGCTTAGCAGATACTGAATTCCAGACCCTCCCTTCCCCAGAAGCAAAGAAGGTGTTCAGCATAAATCACATTGTTTGTACCAACAGTTTAAGCGCAAAGAGTTCTTTTTGTTAGTTAAGCAATGGTGGGAACCCCCACCCCTGTCAAATCCAAGTTCCCAACCCAGGTCCATCATTGCAAGCTGGCCTTCCTATGGATAGCAGTCTCAGGCCTGCTATGCTAACTCTATTTTTTTTTTCTAGTACAGCATTCTAATCAAGTCACTTTGACTATTTGATTTATTTTGCTTTTTTTTTTTTTTTTTTTTTGAGAAAAGTGAACCAGGAAAAGGTAAATTCTATAATTTTATTGAATCTGGAGAACTTAATCTGGGTGAGACCATGTTTTAAGACATTTTTTCTTTTCCTAGATCCTTCTCTGTAGAGTAAGCTATGAATTCCTACTTAGAACTGTCTTTGGGGTTTGGCTACAGATAAATGGTACCCAGTTGACGAGTGCATTCCCAAGGAAGAAAACACGATAAGGAAGCATGTATTCTCCATCATCCATTCCCCCGCCCGTGATTAAAGGATGCCCTAAAAGGCTCTGTGTCATAACTCTAACTTTTGATTCTGCCCATGTCCTCATAACCTTCATTCAGTTTGCTTGACTGGAACTAAGAGAAACTTCCTTACTTCATCACATCTGTTCAGGCAAATTTGTATGACAAGGTGCCTGTAGCATTCAAAGTTGATGAAATAATTTTTACCTTATTGATTTTCCTGTTCTCTCAATAGGTTCTAATAGTTTCAGTTTTATTAATAAGCCTGAGAGAGAAGCTGTGAATTTGGATTCTCTTTATCAGGGGCAGGGAATTTTAAGAAAAGGTTCCTTAGTAGGGGAGTGTTTTGCTTCCTAGATTATGGTTTAAGAACATGAGACTTTTAGCTTTGCTCAGATTATTGTCCTGTCCGAGATATCTCAAATCTTTGGATAAATTGGAAGACAAAGACATATTTCATCTTAAAGTTTTGTTTTCAAGCTCTAAATAAGAACTGACTAGGTAAAACTTTCTAGTTGGAGGTTTTACTTAGTATTGTAAGGGGATGTGCCTGTCAGTCACGAACCCTGTTTGCTACACACCTGCTCTTCCGCCCAGCTGCTGCTCAGGGAAGTAGTGTGAGGCTGGCTTCGAGCAAGGCTAGCCACTGACTGCACCAGGAGTAGGTCGCTGACACAGTGTGCCACCCAGACTCTCGAAGGAGACCGGAGAGATGGCTCTGCCGTACAGGAATGAAGTTAATTAGCTACTTACCAACATATTTGAAGTAGGGAATCTGTGGGAAGTTGGCTTTTTGGAGTGAGAGGAGAACATTCCAGTCAAGCAGAGATCCCATGACAGTGAAATAGCAAGGAGAGAGGAAGAGAGAAAGAGAGAAAGAGAGAGAGAGAGAGAGAGAGAGAGAGAGAAACTGTGAACTGTACCTGGAACAGTGGTTCTTAATGGAACTAGAAGGGATTTTGCCCCTGAGGGAATATTTGGCAAGGTCTGGAGACATTTTGGTTGTCACACTGTGTGTGTGTGTGTGTGTGTGTGTGTGTGTGTGTGTGTAGCGAGGGGGTTGCTACTGGCTTCTGGTGGATAAGGGCCAGGGATGCTGTTAAAAACCCTACAGGACAGCCCCCAGCAACAAAGAATTGTCGCACCCAAGATGTCAGTAGTGCTGAGGATGAGAAAGCCTGAGCCTGGAATGAGTATGCACATCACACCTTTCCTCTTACAGTTTTTCCACTTCGTTTAATTAGTTTTCATCACAAGCATCAAAAACACAAAAATATCATTTCATTCAAGTTAGAAAACTCAAAAGGTAAACAGATAATTTAGAAGGATAATAGGTAAAACTCTCTTAAAACTTTTCTGAATTCTAGATTGTATATTTACAGAGTGTATTTCTTAGTAGAATGACAATTCTATTGAGGCGGATAATTTAAATTGAATTCAAGGATGACTCCTACAGGAACAAATGCAAAAAACATTTTTTAGAAAACAGTTTTTAAAGTAAGAGCTTTTTTAAAAGGGGCTTCCTAAGAGGGTTTGGCCATGTAGAATACACGTAATGCTAAAAAGTCAAATGTTATATTTTTGTTTTGTCTTTTGTCTACAGAACAGCGGAAACACGTTGTTTTTGGAAGTGAAACAGAAGAGGGTGAAAACAATGACTATGAAGCTAATGTTGTGAATGAGGTTGATACTAATGATAAAGAAGATGAATTTAAAAAGGTATTTATTGTGGAACAACTTCATACAATTCACAGAATTATGTTTTATAGGATTATAGATAAACCCCATATGGTGCTTCTTCCAGGCAGTTCTGCAACCAATCTGTATCTAATGTATAACAAAATCCATAAAGTATAATTTTCAATTTTATATTGTAGGCTCAGGCAATCCTTTAAGTTTTCCCCAATATCACAGCTTTTGATGTGATTCTGTCAATCACAGTTTAGTAGTCACCTTCCCTCATTGTGATTGACCATGCTTTCTTGTATAGTAAATGTGCCTTCAGGGATTGGAGCAGCAATCAGTTTGACTCAGAATGGAGAACTTTGTTCTCAGTTATTGTGTTTAATGGTTAACTGTATTGCAAGTCCAGATTGTGGTTCACTTGGGGCTCAGGGATCTGCATTTTAAACTGGCACTGTGGCTGACCACTCTGGACTCTCCCCCAGGAGAAGCCCTAGATAGGCAGATTTTCACGTTGTGTTGAAATGTGTTGAGAATGAAGGTTTAGAAGGGGGCCTGGGGTTTCTTTTTCCTTCTTAGCCCTCACGGTTCTGGTCATGCATGAACTTTGAATGTCACTGTCACATTTGCACTCATTCCTGCTTTCTCCTCCCCGGGTCAGTTTTCTTTTAATCCTTCATACCCACCTTCTTTTCATTCTTTGTCTATTTTACCCACTTTGACACAATCTGATACAGTTTTAGAAATAAACAGCACACCTTTATTCCATTTTCACCTTCTTGCTCAAGGATTATATTGCCAAATAATTGGGAAACACTTTGCTGCAGCATCCAGACTTCTGCAGTTTAGGCTTCTTCTCAGTACCACGCACCAGGCAGCTGTTAGCAACCAGCAGGTGTCAGCTGGAGCAGTCCTCTCTCAGAAGTGCTTGTCTTCCAGTTGCATTACCTTTTGACACTGGCTGAAGTCCTCAGAGCATGATTGAGTACCCTCAGAACCTCTCCAATTGGGGGATCACTGGGGCTGCATTAGTGGTCACCTCCTAAATAGCCTCTGCCTCTCAAATTCATCTCCCACATTGCTGCCAGAATGGTCTCACGTAAAAATCTGATTATGTCACACCTGTGCTTTAGCCTGAGCATTCACCAGCCCTGACTGTACCCCATTGCCACATGGAAAAGCTTGATATTCCTCTTTGTTCATGCCTTATTACTCTCTCTTCTGCCACACCAACCCAGTCTCAGAGGGGCTGGGTTCTAGAGCAGTGAGGAACAGTATGGCCAGAGCCTTGCCCCGATGTGTGACTCATTGTGTAAGCAAGACATGGGCCCACATCTCTGCCTACCAGGCTCCAAACCTGTCCTGTGCTCTGATCAATAAACTTGGCTATTTCTCCCAAGGGAAGGAAGGGTGTAGAGAGAGGGTCAAACCACGGTCCCAGAGGGTGGAATTTTCATCTCATATATTTGAGTACTGCACGTTTTAAAATACATTTATCCAGCTTCTTGAGGATGGAGACTAGTTATCTTCTTGTGCCCATGCCCTTAATCATTGAGAAATGTACCACATTTAAAGTGCTTCAATTTTGTCAGGTGAAAATTGAGTATTGAGCCAGCCAGGATTGCTCTGAACATACTGTTTGTGAATTTTGGTTTTTGAATAAGTTCCTTTGGTTTGCTAGGGTGTTTATGCAAACACATTTTTCATTTATTCTTATTTGTTTAAAATAACCAGACAAATAATTTAGGATTGAATTTGTTTCTACGCTGTCATTGAAATTGTACAGTTTATTATTTGTTGCCTTTCACATGCCACATCGTATATTGTATCATTGTTTTGGGGATGCTTGAGGTTTTTTTGGAGGAGAGATACTAAATTTAATTGATTTCTTATTACAGAAGTGTAAAGAGGTCTTTGCTTTTTTCTCTCATCAATTACTAGACAGTCTTCAAAAAGCTACACGGTTATCTCTGGACACAATGAAAAGAAGAATATTTGTTGCAAGGTAAGTGGAAAATATGCTAATTATATCTGGTAATCATACTTATATTGTAATGTGAATAGCACCTCTAATAAATTTATTAATTTAAAAAACTATAAAATTTAAAATATAGCATTCATTAAAAGACTGTGTGAAAGTACTTGTGTAATACTGCAAGAACTGTGGTCAAAGGAACACCCATGTTCCCCACACCCTGCCTGAGATAAAAAAGGCTACCAGTCCTCTCATGGGTCCTCTCCCTTCTCACCCAAAAGTAACTACTATCCTGAACTTGGTGTTTATCATTGTCTTGGTTTTCTTCACAGTTTACTGTGTTTTTGTATCCCCAGTCCACGTATCATTTAATTTTGCCTGTATTTGAACTGCACTTGGTATACTGTTTTTGAGATTCATCCATGGGGTATAGTTTTTCACGCTTCTGTGTAGTTGGAGTATACATAGTCTGTTTATCCATTCTACTGGTGATGGTGATTTGGGTTGCTTCAGTTTGTGGCTATCATGAATAAAGCCTCTGTGAGCATCTTGTAACCATCTCCTGCTGCACCTGCTAAGAGTGGGTTTGGTGGGTCCTAGGTTATGTGGATGCCTCATTTTACCAGGCAGCACCTAGTGAGAGTGCCCGTGGCCCCTCATCCCTGCAGACAGTATTATTCAATTAAAAAATTCTTGCCAACATACAGGGTGTGAAATGGCATCTCATCAGGATTTTAGTTTACATTTTCCTGGTTACTGATGAGATTAAATATACTCTTGTGTTTATGGGCCATTTGTTGTTTCTCTTCCTTAAAATTTGTGTTCCTAGTTCAACCACGGTGGAAGACAGGGTGGTGATTCCTCAAGGATCTAGAGCCAGAAATGCCATTTGACCCAGCAATCCCATTACTGGGTATATACCCAAATAATTACAAATCATTCTCCGATAAAGACATACACACACGTATGTTTACTGCAGCACTGTTCACAATAGCAAAGGCTTAGAACCAATCCAAATGCCCATCAATGATAGACCGGATAAAGAAAATGTGGCACAAATATACCATGAAATACCATGCAGCCATAAAGAAGGATGAGTTCATGTCCTTTGCAGGGACATAGATGAAGCTGGAAACCATCACTCTCAGCAAACTAACACAAGAACAGAAAACCAAACACCCCATATTCTCACTCATAAGTGGGAGCTGAACAGTGAGAACACATGGACACAGGGAGGGGAACATCACACACCAGGGCCTCTCGGGGAGTGTGGGGCTAGGGGAGGGATAGCATTAGAAGAAATACCTAATGTATATGACGGGTTGATGGGTGCAGGAAACCACCATAGCATGTGTATACTTATGTAACAAACCTGCACGTTCTGCACATGTACCCCAGAACTTAAAGTGTAATTAAAAATAAATAATTGTGTTCCTTTTTTGGTCTGTTTTTCTATTGAATTGGATTAATTCATAAGTATTCTTAGTATATTACATTATTGATGATAATATAACAAATGTCTTTTGTCAGTTTTGCCTTATCTTTTCATTTTCTTTATTAATTTTCATTTTCCATTGCCGAGTTTTAAAAATATTCAAATTTATCAGTTTGAGTGATTTGTGGTCTTTTTAAAGAAACCAACGCTTCCCTACTTCATAATGTCTTCCAAAACTTTTATAGTTTTAACTTTTATATTTAGGGTTTTAATTTACATGGTATTGATTTTTGTGCTTAGTGTGAGGTAACAAATAAATATAATTTTTTCCATGTGGTTAATTAGTTGACTAAGCAAAAGTTGTTAAAAAATCAGCTTAGTTGTGAGGTCAGGTGGGGGAGTTATTTAAGTTGCATTGAATCTATAGATCGATTTGGAGAGAATTAGCATCCTTATAAATATTGAGTCTTCTATTCAGAATTACGTATTACCTCTGCATTGATATGTCTTCTTTAATATCTCTCTGTGACGTTTTATAAATCTCTGTGTAAAAGTCCTACACAGTTTTGTTAGATTTATTCCTTGCCTATTCATTGCTGATTTTTAATTTAATTGTACTGTTCAATTCTCCCAGTGTGATTGTGGATTTATTAAATTTTCCTTTTGTTTTGGTCAGTTCTTGTTTTATGTATTTTATGGCTGTGTTGTTAGGTGCATACAAGGTAATAGTAGTTAAACCTGCTTAAGAGCACTGTTCCTTTTATTTTTATTTGGCAAATCCCTTTATTTATATTAATCCTGATTCCTCACAATTCTCTTTAGTTTGTCATTTACCAACTTTTTCTGTGTAACTGTTTCGATCTCTTTACTTAAGCCTTTCTCTGTACTTTTTAGTTTTACCTCTTAAAAACATTGTATACCTGATAATTTTCCTTCAATCTCATTATCTCTGTCTTAGTGAGTTTAATTTGTTTGCATTTATTGTGATTTTTGATATAGTTGCACTTAATTTATGACATTTTATTTTGTGTTTTCTTCTCACTATTCTTTTTCTTTGACTCATTTTATTACTATTGTTGTCTTTGGGGTGGATAATTTTCACCATTTTTTCTCTTTTCTGTACTTCACTTCTTTAAGTGATTACCCTTAACTTTAGAATGCACATATTTTGCTCCAACTAAAAAAAGTACTAGCCAGGTTCACTGGCTGACGCCCGTAATCCCAGCACTTTGGGAGTCTGAGGCAGGCGAATCACTTGAGGTCAGGAGTTCGAGACCAGCCTGACCAACATGGTGAAACCCCGTCTCTACTAAAAATACAAAAATTAGCCAGGCCTGGTGGTGCACGCCTGTAATCCCAGCTACTAGGGAGGCTGAGGCAGGAGAATCGCTTGAACCCGGGAGGTGGAGGTTGCAGTGAGTTAAGACTGCGCCATTGCACTCCAGCCTGGGAGACAGAGTGAGACTCCATCTCAAAACAAACAAACAACAACAACAACAACAACAACAAAGTAGTGTCCTTAGTTTTGCAGTTTTCTAGTCTTATTTCTGACTACAAGGGCTTGACAAGCTTTACTGACTGAACTGTACACATTTTATTGCCGTTTGATGTTTTAGTTTTACCTTTGTGTGAACACTCAAAAATAATATATTAAAATAATTTATTTACTGGCATACTTTATTAAAATCTGCAGGTTCTCATGTACTTTTTTGTATCCCATTGGCTCTTTAGTGAGGATCTGTGAGAAGCACACTCTCTTATCCTTCTTTGTAAGTCTGAAAATGTTTCGCCCTCATACTTTCATAACATTTTGGCTGGATATAAAATTTTTCTTTGTCTTTTAGCACTTGGAAAGTATTTCTTCATTTTTTTCTGAGTTATGTTACTGCTGATGAGAAGTCTGCATGAGTCTAACTGAATATTCTCTTTTAATCCTTAATGTTTCTGCAGTTTTCTTACCCTGTGTGGATTTGTCTTTGTCTAATCCTGCTTTGTTCTCAGAACACACTTCCTATTTGAGGGTTTATAGCTTTCCTTAATGCTGGAAAAAACCTCAGCAATTTCCCCTTTAGTTATTACTTCCAGGATATTCTTTCATTGTCTTCTTCTGGAACTCCTATTAATTGAATGTTGAATAGAGTGACCACATAATTTATTGTTTCAACTATGGAACTTTTGTGAGTGAAGGGGCACTGTCCAGATGAGGTCCCAGGACACAGTGAATCTGGAACTGTCCTGGGCACACTGGATGTGTGGACATTTCGTATGTTGGGGCTTCTCTTTCTCTTCTCCTTGTCTCCTAATGACTCTGTCATCTATGTCATCTTTTTGTCTTTCTGAACTACACTATGGGCAAGTACCTCTGTATCTATTCTAAAGATTTTGTCATCTGTGACATCTTAAATATTTCAAGAAAAAATACTTTTTCCTTATCCTCCAGATATGAAATTATTTCTGTCTTTTTAGTTTAGCAATTTTAAAAAAAAATTTTTTGAAAGAGTCTTCATATATCGCTGAACATTTTCCCTTACTTTAGAGCTTGTTATCTGGGCATTACTTTTATCTGGAGTGAGTTTCTGTTTCAATTTTGGATTTTGTTAGCTCTCTTTCTTATCCTTAGACATATTCACGCATACTTGGCTTTTAATGTGCAGGCTCTCTTTGCGAGAGCTTTGTTTTCGTGTTTCTTTCTCCTTCCCTCCCTCCCTGTCTACGAGTTTCACTTTTGCCTCTAAATGACACTCGGAACCCTGAGTACAGAACCAGGTTTTATTTCTTCACAGTTACTGGCCCCTGGAGAGATATTGGGGGTATGGCAGGTTCGGCCAGGGAGCACACAGGAGGCCTGACTTAGCTACTTATCAAGGAATCTGTGGATGTGCTTCTTTTGCCCCAGGTCTGCATCCGCTGGAAAAGCCGTAGCTGCGGGCAGTAGGTTGACAGACCTTGTCTTGCAGCAGCATCTGCAAGACAGGTGGGAGAGCATTATTTTAGTTTTTGGCCTTAAGTAGTGAGGCTGGCCGAGGCCCTGTCCCTCATTGAGTCCTGTCCATCCTCTATATTTCACCAGAGCCAACCTCCCGACGGTCCCTGCCTCTTTCCAGCCCGGAAACCTCACTAGGCTGTCCTTGTGTTTCTCTCCATTTCTACTTCATGGAGATGCTTACCTTGTATTTGAGCATTCTTGTGTCCTTTATCTCCCATCCATGATTGTGATGGGTTTGGCAAAAAGAAGCTTTTTTGAAGGATGCACTCACTAGGCCACATTGATTTACAAGTTCTGTGGCAATTCAGCAATTTTTGAGGAAGCATACATGAGGATAGTACTAAAAAATCCTTACTTGTCTAAAATGTCTTTCTCTTATCCCCACACACGAACGCTAGCTTCGTCTTCTGGGATCAGAATCCCTTTCTCTCATACTCTACAGAGGCTGCTCCATTGGCTTCTTTGGTTTCGATTTTTAGAGGAGAGTTCTGCTGCTAATCCGATTTTCCCTTCCAAGTAACAACTTGTATTTGTTTTGATCCTTACAGGATTTCTCTTTTATTCTTGAAATTCACAAATTGTATGTTGAGATGCAGGTGGGTTTTTTCCCCCCATTAATCCTGTCAGGCACATAGAGAATCTCTTCAAAATGAAAAAACAAGCCTATTCTTAAGGTTAAAGGAGTGCTTTGCTTTAATTTCCCGTATCTACACAGTATTCACGTGCTGCGTCTAGGTAGTAAGCATCTCTGAGCGGAGTGACCCTCTGGAATTTACTTAACCTCTCCCTACCTTGGTTTCCTTATCTACAATATGAAAATAATAATAATCATAAGGTCTGCCTCACAGAATTAATGTGAACATAAACTGGTAATTTATGGAAACTGCCTGGCATACATTAAGCATTCAAGAAATGTTACCTATTCTTACCTTTTCTCTAAGTATTTTCTCTCTCTTTGTATTTTGCATCTGAAATTTTGGAGAATACCTTCAGCTGATTCTCTAATTTGCTGTATAAGGTACCAAATGATCTAGTGCGGGGTTCACTGCCTCTATTATTCAGCTGTTCCTTTATACTTTATGAAAACTCTTTCTTATTCTCAAATTACACACTTTGAATCAATGCCCACACGAATTTTATTGCAACATCTTGAATTCCACTGGGAGACTGTGAATTGAGGGGTTTTGTTTGCTTGCTTGCTTTGTGTTCAGTCCTTTCCAATAATAGGTTTATCTGGGAACCCTTGGCCCTGAGTGCTAAAAGTTGGGTCTTCACTTTGGAACTGTGGCCTCTATGTTTCTTGTGATCTCCTTCCACCCCCATCTGCTTGTATTTAGAAATGGAGATGTAAGTTTTCAGTAATGACAGTATTTCTTGCACTCCCAGAGGAAAAGACAATGGACAGTTTGCATTTATTATAATTTTGTCTGGGATGGGGTGGAGGTTGAGACAGAGGGAGCTGTGCTAGCCAGAGTAATTTGCAGCTCTGCGGGTGTCCTTCATAACTGGACTCAGGCGTCTGTGCTGCTGTCTGTGCATGAGAGATATTGTTTAACAAAGCAGATTTTGGAAATCATGGACCAGGCACGTCCTGTTTAATCTCGTAAAAATATAAACAAAGAAGCATATAAAGGTATATGCTGGTGATCTCATCCTATATCTGTTGCAGGGCTGGGAACAAAGAATGCCTTTAGTAAACACTGTTAAAGGTTATTACTGACAAAAAACAGCATTAAAATAGTAGAAAATGTATATGAGATTACTAGTTTGCTTCTAAGACTATCGGGTCATTGTATTTTCTTAGTTCTCTGCAATTTAGGGCTCTGTTATAAGTAATATTCTCTTTGTGTAGTGTGGCCTTTTAAAAATGTTCTTTATTGTTAGGACTGAATTTTGTAGCATAATAAACTGTTAATGAAATTTTAGGTTAAGGTTAATCAGCTAGATGTCCATCTCATTGCAGCCATAATGGGCGAAAGCGATCAGAAGATATTATTTCCTTTATAAAAAGTGAAGTACATCTTGCAATTCCTAATGTGGTAAGTATTATTAAATACACTGATATTTTGGTAAGTTACTTAAGAAGTATAGTACTAGAACTGAGCTTTCATTTAGGGTGACATTCTGGTCCTATGTATTTTTTCACTTTCCCTCACTATTTAACAAATTGGAAATGTCATTTATATCTGTTATGAAAAAGTCACTTCTGGGATGGGCACAATGGCTCACATCTGTAATCCCAGCACTTTGGGAGGCCAAGGTGGGCAGATCCCCTAAGGTCAGGAGTTCGAGACCGTCCTGGCTAACATGATGAAACCCCGTCTCTACTAAAAGTACAAAAATTAGCCAGGCGTGGCAGTAGGTGCCTGTAATCCCAGCTACTCGGGAGGCTGAGGCAGGAAAATTGCTTGAACCCAGGAGGTGGAGGTTGCAGTGAGCTGAGATCATGCCGCTGCACTCCAGCCTGGGTGACAGAGCAAGACTCTGTAAAAAAAAAAAAAAAAGTTACTTCTGTATTAGCTCATGGTGTATTGAAGGTCTTGTGAAAGAGTTGAGTTAGCCATCTGTTCTGCCATCAATTAGCAAGCACCCTACCAATTGCCTTGCTTTTCCTTACTTCAGACATTAAATTATCTAAATAAAATCATCACAGTTGTCCAGATCCCTACCCCAAACACATGTCTGTGAGGCAACCCACTAAGGTAAGGATGGCAGAAGAGAAAGATAAAAAGAGCCTGTGCCCTGAGCATCTGAATCATCCGTATCTTCCCGTGGCACTTATCTCTACAACTACCCCAGCTGCTGATGGGCATCTGGAACTCCAAGCCACATGGGATGGCTGAGCTGCCTTCTGCGATGGGTCAAAGGATAAGGCCAGGCAGAAACGTGACTCACCTAAAACCACCTTTACATGGTCTGACCTCCTGAAGGATAGCGTCTTAGCTTATTTGGCACATTTCAAAGAACTGAGGTCAGACTCTTGGTGGTGTAGCTTCTTCAGTTACTTTGTTTCATGGATTTCTAACACATAGTCTGTAATTTCCCACTGCATTCTGCCACCCCCATGGGGAAAAGGATGACAAGTACTAGTTTGGCCTTTTAAACAAAATCGAAATGTCATTTCTGTTATTAAAAAGTTACTTCTGCATTAGCTCGTGGTATAATAAAGCTTGCAGGAATCGATAGCCGGAAAACTTCAGGATAGAGAAAATCTGCATCGCCCCCACACCATCTTCCTCTGTCATTCTCCCCATCAAATCAGCCTTCCACTGGGCCAGCCGAGGCTTGCCCCACTCAGTGGGGAGTGGAGGGGGTGAAAATCGAGGGATGGACTGTATGTGCTGGCAGTATTACACATTTGTTTCTTCTTTCCGCAGGTGATGATTCCTAGTTTGGATGACATTCAACAAGCCATTAACCGTATGATCCAGTTAACCCTGGAGGTCAGCAGAGGAGTGGCTCACTGGGGGCAACAGCAAATCCGTCCCATGAAGTCAGTCATTCCCAGCCCCACCACTACTGACCTGACCCATCAAAACACAGGAAAACTGCCGAAGAAGGAAGAAAGTAAGAATGTAAAATTAGTCAATGATCTTACTGATCCTTCTTGGATTTGATAGCATATAGATTTTTAAATTATTTTATATGTTTGATACATTTCGCGTTTAAAAAATAGTATGTTTCATCTTAAATGTAACATGCAGGCATTTTTTCCTGGCTTTGGGTGGTGGGTGAAAAGGATTTTTAAATCCCTTGTCTACTGTGATGATCTTAAGTTAAAAATTAAAATAAG